CCTCCTTGGTGCCTTCATAATAAAGTGACCACCACTTCTGCCAACACCTATAATGGATAGTGCCCACCATTGGGGAAAAAAATTAGACAATTATCCAAGACACACCACATTTCCGCAGAATTTATACCCAAAAATCAATGTTGTGTTCCTTCTTGTACCAGCTGCTTATACAGCCCATACATCAAATAATGATAGCTATCTTTAAATATTATTATATGAGGATAACAATGAATCAGGCCATCAAAGCAACTAGCAGGGAAGGTGGATCTATATTAAGAGATTCTCAGAAGAACTATAATACATTAAACACAATAAACAATATTAAAGATTCATGGGCTGAAATAAAAAAGTCAACAGAAAGACTCCTGGAAAGGAGCGATTTTATAAATGAAGAAACTATCTCAAATGAAAAGTTAGCTTAATGAACGAATTAAATGTGGTTATCAACAACGAAGATATTAATAAGTTAATTGAATCTCAGTCAGTACCTCTATCAAATGAATACTAATTGAGCAGTAAGAATTAAATAAAATGCACAGTGAAGGTGAGGAAAAAGAAACTGCTCAAATAATCAAGAGTGACAATCAATAATATGAATGAAGCATCTTGACAATTTCTTACTATCATGGAAGAATGTGATCCCAAAGAAGAATATATATAATGTGATTATAAAAGACACAGCATGCTATAGAACTCTTTATCAAGAAAAGAAAAAAAAAGTGGTATTCAATTAAATATTGAAAAGAAATAATAGTTAAAAAATAAGTTTATAAAGAAAACATCTGAAAGTGCTTAAATAAGACTCATTAATTTAATAATGTGTACTGCTTTATAAATAACATGATTTATAAATACACATTTTAAAAATACATTTAATTTTTTTCTAAATTTAATACTAAACCTATAATTAATTTTTCTAAATTTATTTATTTACATTTATTATTTATTACACCTTCTAACATTCACACACATTTTCAGGAACCAATTTAGTGTGAAAGGTGAGGGCCTTTCAATTTGTGTGAAAGGAGAGGGCGCCAATTTTGCAATTTGTGAGGGTACTACAGTTGCATCATTCATGTATGAAGTTGTCACATGACATAAAAATTATCTTAAACTTCTGTACCTACTTTTTGCCATAACTAGTAGAAACCCGACTCAACAACCATTTCATTTGTAATAACCAAATAACTCATAAAAATAATGCAATCCTATTAAAGAGAGTAGAAGGAATGGTAAAATTATTGATCTATCATGAATAGCAGTGTAGAGACATAAAAAATCATCTGTCTCCTGGCATGGATTCGAATTATCGATCTTCCTACTGCTAGTTGGAATATGCTACAACTTATATCATGAGAGCATGCATGGATATATGTGATAATTCCTTATAACAAAATAATAAAATAATAATAATAAATAAAATAAAGACATAAATGGATCACCCGTAGTCAGTTAAAAAGAACTAACAGTATAATTTTCATACAAAAAAAAAAAGCTTTGCAATTATAAATTATTTTTAATAATTATTATTACTATCAGTATCAGTACAATTGGTACTCTTCTGTTATCAGGACCGGATTCAGGAATGTGTGTATGTATGCGTGTGTATATGTATGTATGTGCATATATGTGTGTACATACACATACTCATACATATATACCCACATATAACCTATACATACATGAACACATCCATTCATACATACATGCATATATACATACATTTCTGAATCTGTTCCTGATAACAGAAGATACAGAAGATAACTGCACATACAGTTCTATGTAAAGAAATTCCTGTCTTTATGTAATGTACATTTCCTAAAGTCACTGTTCTTCCTCCCTTCTCACCATACACAGACATAGTAAACCCATGTGTAATCAAACCTGATAATCTCCCCCCCCCATATAATGAAATACAGTCAAAAGTCGTTAATCCGGACTCGTCAGGACTTCGGCGATTCCGGATTATAGATCATCAGTTTAAATCTCGTAAGATGGCATGCAGAAATTCTAAAATTAAAAATACGAAACCTTAATTTATGAAATAAAGAACAATTATAATCTAAAGAGTATCAAATTTACAAAAAAAAAAAAAAAAAAAAAAAAAAAGGCTTAATATTTATTTGTTTACTTTATTAAACATTTCTTTCAATGTAAGTTGTTTAAGTTGCTTCGTTTTATGTGATAATACTTTCTCTTAATTCTATAAACAGACACAATTTCTGTTCAGTTACGAAGTTCCACTGTTCAAGTCCTGTTGAATTGCCGTGCTGAGAATACCGACTAACTTATCAATCGAAATTTTTTTTCGTTTTCACTAACCTCTCTGTCACATTCTTCATGTCTTTATCCATTTTTTGCAGCAATCATTTCCACTTTTTGTTTGATGGACATCGAAACATACTTTCGTTTTGTACGATCCTTTGGGAGCTCCAGAATCGGAAATTCTTTTTGACATAATCGAAAGTTCAAGTTTACTTTTATAAAATTGCTCTTGCAGTCTGCAAAAAATAATAAACCGGATCCAATTCGAAGATTAAGGAACAACGCAATCATCAACATTAACTGAAATAGATAATTTTAGATTATACCGTCCGTTATACATAAAACGCACACGCGAAAACGTATTCTGTGCTTGCGCAAACGCATATGCGCAGTGGTAAAAGGTCTTACGCGCACGCGTAAACGCCTATGCGCATGTGTCAACGTGGTGCATGCGCAGAAAGTTTTTAGCTTTGAGGTCCGGATTATGAGTGTCCGAATTAACGACTTTTGACTGTACATGAATTTTAAGGCTCATTCTATTACAATTTAGTATTTACTGTAAACTGATTTTGTGCATTTGTCTCTAATCATATTTATAAGAGGTTTATTATTTTTTTTAAAAAAAAAAAAAAAAACCCTTTACATGCTTCACCATAAGGTATTATACAAAAAGGAAGGGATGCCTCATGGAAGGCTTTTTAAAGGAAATGCGCTTGTATCCATGTTACACATGGGAGAAACCATAAAAACGCCCATGCAGACAGCCAATTCACTGGGACTCAAACCCTGGACCAAATTATCAATGTTCAGTGACTTTACCACTCTGTGGCTAGTGGCCTTAACAATAGAATAATTAATTTTGTATCTCATGTTCTATAAACTTCCCCACTTTAAAAGTATTACCCATCAAATATACTTATTTGCAAGTTCAATTAATTATGTTTATAACAGTAAGTCACAAATAACAAATTTCAAAATAAATAAATGTTAAAAATAACAACAGATATTATAGAGCATAGCCTGTAAAAGGACAGTTTTATATTTGTTAAAAAAGCAAGTTAAATTTCATTTTCCAGAAAATAATCAATTTTATTTCTCAACATAATCTTTAGTGAGGGCTACAGGGCTCCACTTTCAAATTCTAATATTCTTATCCCAATGGAAAAGTAGCTTTTATGAATGACAAGTATAGATTGAAAATGACAACGACATCCTTATTTGATGTGAATTTTTTGCCTAAAAGTGGCAAAATGGTTAAAACTACTAAACATTGGAAACTTAGCCTAGCTTCAAATGCTGACAAACATGTTGGCTTTACAGGTAGTATCACGAATTTTTCTATGTGCAAAACAGTTTTCCTTAGACAGTCCTATGTGCAAAACAGTTTTCCTTAGACAGTCCTTCCTTCAGGTTAGTAGCCCTTATGTACTTAGCCATATTGAATTTACTAAACAATCAAGAATTTCTTTCCATGGAACCTAACTTTCAGATTTGGGAACAATAAATGATTTCAATTAGGGAACAAGACTGAAAGAGTGAGATGGATGAGGAATGAGTTCAAAACTTAATTCATGCAATTTTGCCATTGTAGTTGTTGATTTATGGGTTGATGCTTTGCCATGGCAAAAGAATGTTTTCTTGTGGGCTGATTTCGACCATTTTTATTTCAGCTTTTTTTAAACAGTCCAGTAATGTTGCACAATATGCTATTGTTACTGATTTTCTCTTCTTCAAGTAGGTGACTAGATGATTACTAAAGAATTTCCATAAAACGTTGGCCATCATCTTCTCAGCCAACAAAAATGGCCTTCATTTTCTTCAACACATTTTCACCACTTGTTGTCCACTGCTTTGACTCAAATGGTGTATCCATGTCTCAGTTATAATTATGAATCAACATAAAAAGTGCTAAAGGTTGCAGTTAAACATTACCAAACATTATTCAAAATCTTCTTTCATTTGCATTTCTAGGTGATAGTCAACAATTGTGAACAACAACAACTATCATGATGCAGAAGACTTTTTCATCTACAATTTTCTATTATATACTCAATCATTTGAGATACCTGCACTTTCAACCAACCTGCACAGTTTACCAGTTTTACATAAAGGTATCACAGACCTTTTTAAAAAATAGTTACTGTGGTTTCAACTGGATGTCTAGAATGTTTTATCTTTAATGCATTTCTGCTACATTTAAGGTTGTGGTTTGCCATATTCAAACACACAACAGCCACATTTAAACTTATTTTTTCAGAAATAAATAGTTTCCAGTACTTGTGCAGAATACATGTGAACTTCACTTCCCCTTTGATCTGGGTGATCTTTTTTTTCATATAAAAACTTTTATCATTGCAAAGGAAGTGCTTCCCATTCTCGACTTTTGTTTTATCTTCTACAGTGTTTGTTTCTAAAACCCAAAGAAGATGTACACTCCTAGTGACTGAAATTGATCCTCAGCTAGTTTGAAGGTTAGTTTCAGCTAACTTTTAGTATGCGATGAATGATATTATTAAATGAATTACAAGTTTAGAAGTATAGCTTGCATTAGTTTATTTTTATTATTAAAGATGAAATCAATCCATCAACAAAGTTCCATTGTAAAAAATTTTAACTACTTGAATGTGAAAATTTCTTTAGCATTTCTTCACTCTGATTTGTCATACTTCTGTGATAAAAATCAAATTACCCTCATGCTTATCTAATTTTATAATTTATATTAAAAACATACATACTGTAGAATCCTCAAACCAAACATTATAAAAGAAATTGAGATCATCATCTTTCCAGAGGCAGCAAAAATTATTTACTCCATCAATGTATTTTCGTCCAAAAGTAACCATCTTCCATATCTGAAAACAGGGAGAAAAACAAGTTAAAAAGAAAATCTCCTCCAAACATTATGTAAAACTTGAATATTTCATTTATCTTCATGTAATGCAGTGAAAAAATTTTAGCTCCTTTCAATTTCAAACATAAAATGATATTTTACATGGCTACTGCAAATTTCTAAATGTAAAAAATCAGGGTATTACAATTTTTAAAGATTTCCATTAAAATATATGCTATTAAAATTTTACGGTTTATCTCATATATTCAAGAAATTTTCTCAAATTTAATAAAACTCACACATTTAAATTTTTTATTGAAATTCTGAAAACATATTTTGGCAGTTCATCTATTTTGCACTTAGTTTTGCAGCTGAAGTCAGCTCTCTGCATTAAATATAGTGCAGAATAAATATCTGCACTATACTTTTGTACTAGTATGTTAATGTTTGATATCATTTCAATATGCACAAATATTATCTTAAGGACTTCTCTAAAGAACACAAAATAACCACTTTTAGAATTGCATTCGCAGATTCCCCCTTTTGAAAATTTAAATGATGCAGAGAAAAAACAAAATATTCATATTTACAGAAAACATTTCTGAATATTTTCAGGCTAAAGTACAGCAGACTAAGTTATAACAAATAACACATAAAACATATTATTTTATCATCATTTAATTTCATCAGAACATGCAGGTCATAAAATTTGCAATTTTTTCAGTCTGCCTGCCTTAATGATGAAAATACGTACATAATCTACTGTGGCTGTTGTGAAAGGCTTTAAATACAATAGCATGCTTTACTGCTCACAAGCATGCATTTTTTTATCACCTTAAGTTTTGCAGGAACTCAAAGCACCTTGCAGAGTACCTTAAATTTGTATTGTTTTTATATGTTGGGTATGTGCTCAGTGATGGTAACGTGATATACACAAACATCGTTTATTCTACATTGCTAATCTTATTATAAGCAGGACAATTGTATAACTTATGAAAAGTTCCACATTTTCTACAAGGATTATAATTGTCCTGCTTACAATAAGATTAGCAATGTTGCAATGTGATAGCCAGAAATGAAGAAGGAAATTATTATTATATGACACATCTAATAATCTATTATTAGATGGTCTTGGATTAAAATGATTAAATTACATAACTGATAATTTTAAATCAAACTATAAAGTTTAATCAAATATTTTTGTATTTTGAAAAATAATATTATCTTATCATCATGAATAAAAATAACATTAAAAAGTACCTTTTTCTTCAAAGATGCTGCTCCATTTGGACGGCCTTTCTTCATAAAAATAGATGGAGCAATTAAGCAATCACAAGTTCTGTCCACATATATGAAATGAATAAGGCCAGGGTATTCCGTTATATACTTGAAACGAAGTTAAGGTTAATGTATAAATATCGAATTTACCCTATTTCAAGATGACTTTTTTTTAACTTTTTTGTGGTTCAGTAAAATGTTTTGGGACTTAGAATTTACATTATTAATATGGCCAAGCTAATCAATTATTATTATTTTATTTTTATTTTTATTTTTTTTTTCAGTTGCTTGAGGTTCACTTATATAAATATGGTATTCTTTTAAATCCAATAGTTTATTGTGAAAAATTTCGTGCACATACATGTATAAAATTACTTAAATGAACACTACAAAACTGCACAACCACTATCTAAAGACATGGCAACTCAGAATATGACAGTAAGTTATTTGTAAAGTGTGGAGAATATCATTGAATATTCTGAAGTAACTACATACTTCAGTATGTTTATTCAGTAACATTACTGTTACTGAATAAAGAAGGTGACTGCTGAAATAGCAGTTTTGGTGTTTGCTATCAAGAATCTAAAAGTTCCGTGAATTGTGAAAATCAATAAAATATTTATTATCGTTTATACAAAATACGCTACTGCATAAACATGAAGGAACAAGAAATTTGAAAGACAATGCAAGACTTTGGCAAAGAATATTGAAAATTACTGATAACCAGATATAAGGATTTGTGAGCTTCTTCATTGCCATCATCGTACAACAATTTTTGTCAGCATATTCTGAACAAACAACAAATGAATAAAAATTCTTATAGCTCTCTTATCACTCAGTAACTTCTTTCTATTTTCCAGTGATAAATAATTATGTATGGAATCTACTTCAAGTTGGAGAACCAATTTAAAATAAGGAATCTTAGCAACTTGAGAATGTTTCTTGGAGAAGTAATCCAAAGACTGACAGCTCAGCGGATAAGTGCTTTCAAAACTATCATAAAATTTTCTTTAGTATCTTGCAATCACGAACAGATTTACAACTTGGTAACTTTTCATCTAAACGATCTTTAATTACACATGGAAAAAATTCTATTTATAAATAATTCTACGGGAATAAATTTATTTCATATTTTTCTCATTGATTTATACATATGTCATAGTTATATGACATATGTATAAATCAATGAGAAAAATAATGCTTAGACTTTTGCATTATTCTTCATGTACTAGACTCATATTTTCATACATTACTGTAACCTCAATAAATCAGAAAATCACAGAATTAATAAAATCAGAAAATATTAATTAACATCATACAAATTATATTGCATATATTAACTTTGCTCAAATACATAAATTATAATTTACAAATAAAGGATATGAGGACATGGTAATATTCTGCACAGCTTTCACTTCTAAGAAATCTGCAACATCATTAAGGCGCTTTATGCCAAGTTTTTGAAGATGTATTAAAACCTCTTGATGCTCTGAATTATGAGTAATTTCTTCATATTTTTGACAAGGATTAGCAATTATTTCTTCAAATAACAGCCTTAATAATTCACAAAGTGATGAAATTGCAGAGTCTAATCTGTAGATAAAATAATAACAAATATATTATACTAAAAAAAAACACTGCATTTTATTTACAGAGTAACTATGATACAATTTACCGAGGATTCAAATTAGATTCCTTTGACATCTGGAAAAATGACTCTATTTCACACTGTTTTAACTGTTCCCACTTCACAACTATCTTCTTAATGTACTTCTCTTTTTCATCAAGCATCTGAAAAATATATCATTCTTGCAGATTCAAAGTACTGTTTTAAATATCAAATCACAAGTACAAAAATAATTTTGCTATCAAAAACTTGTTTATATTCTTAATGAAACTGATCTGAATTACTAAGTACATATGTAAGTTGTACCAAAAGTGACAGTGGAAAAATCTCTTTTAATCAAATCATAATCTAGTGTTTTGGATAGCATTAGAACAAAAAGTAAAATTTTAGACAAAGTCAAAAATACTGATACTACTACCATTTTATGTGTATTGAAAGGGAAGAATACTGGGTCATCTTAGAAGTTCTGGCCTTTTTCAAATTAAAACATATTTTCTTCTAATTATTTTGTTTCTGCTGATAAGGAGTGAACTTGATCGAAGCAGATGTGTAAATTTAGTCCTCCCTGCTCATGTTGCATAATTCTAACATATGTGGGGTATTTTTTCTTTCAGTGTAATGCTAAGACTGGAAAACTCAAAAGTTCATTTTATGCACTTTTTTTCCTAAAAAAAGGAAAAAAATAGTTAGGCCATTCATAAAATTTATGTTAAATATCAACCAAGTGCTGTTTTTGATGATACAGTTTGAAGGTGGTTTGAGAAGTGGCGAAACTTCTCAAACCACCTTCAAACTTGAAAAACGCCTCAGTGAAGATGCCTGCTCTGGATGACTATGTGCTATAAACAGAGACCTATTTAAAGAAACTATCCCTGAAAATCCCCCTTATTAAGTTCAGTAACTAGAAAACTGGGTATATTAAGCTGCTAAAATATATGGATACCCATATTTTAATAGATCATAATATGCTTGCTCAAATTCTGGCATGCAATCATTTGCTGAAACAATTTTTAATGGCTTATTACTGGAAATCAGAACTGGCTACAAAACAAAAATGTACACACAAAAAAAAGACAATGGGGTAAGTCAAGTTAATCTCCTTTATTAACATTGAGAGGTGGGCTACATCTCAAAAATGTAATGCTTTGTATATGGTGGGATTACAAAAGAACTACCTATAATGACTAAATCAAATAATAAATTCACAAACATCTAATTCTCCAAATGGTAGTTTTAAACGCAGAAATCAATACAGAACACAAATAATGTATTAAATGTCAATGCATTGTTTTCATAATGACAATACTCCCCACATTTCAATGCCACATCAGACAAAAACTTATTGAGTATGACTGGGATTTTTTGTGTCACCCTTTATGTTCAAAAGGCCCAACTGAATTCATCTAACCAGGTCACTGGTTAGATGAATAGGTCACTGGTTAAAATTCTCTGGACAAAATGGTGTTCACTTCTTTGGAGACTGTCAAACATCAGCTCAATAACTTCTATATGAATAAAGATAATGATTTTTTTAGAAAGAAATTTTCCAGTTGCCAGAGATACAGCAAAATATCATTCAATAAAATGACTTTTATGTGGTTCAACGAAATTTTTGTATGTTTTGTGCTGCTTCATTTGCATTTATCATAAAACTGCAGAACTCTTCAGATTATTCATTTTTTCATTCTTCTTACTTCAGGTACAATTTTCAGGAGTAATACAGCTTATTCCTTAAAAAGGAAACCATGTTTTCATCTCATGAAATGCAATGAACTTTTTCATTTAAAATTAAACCAAACATTAAATTTTAACAATAAATGAAATTCCAGTTAGTATACTTCCCTTGAATTTCATAACTATTCTTTGAATAACTGGAAAAATACAAAGTTATGTATCGTTATTAAAAGAATTAAAAGAATGCTGCACACATCTGCAATAAGAATACTTGGAAATTTTTCCTCAAAAGATGTTCCATCTTATTCAAAAACATTATACATGTTCTTACATCTTATATGTTCAGAGATATTATACTAAACATAGAAAAATTTCTTACTGCAAAAATCTCAGTCAGATAATAGATCCTAACTGATGCTTTTACAGCAATTACATCTCAAGGTAAAAAAAAAAAAAAAAAAAAAAAAAAAGTTTATGTTATAATCTTCATTTAAATGTTGCAAGCCAAAGTACAGTATAAATCCCTATTTCTATTCAATTTAATTTTACCTTGGCAATCTGATGATTTTGAAATTGAAAAGAGCACATGAAATACAACTCAAATACTTATTCATTATACAAAACAATAGACTATACAATGAATGCTATTTATCATAATGTTATTCTTCTCTTAAAACCTAATTTTTTGATACACTTTTAAAATATTCTCCACCATCTGGAATATTTTTTAGTATACACTGATTGGTGAAATTGCAGTTTACCTTCTGTAATGTAAAATTAAATTTTACAATATTTCTATTTTTATTAGTTATACATTTGAGATTTCAGAAGCCCCAAAGAAAGTAGTTGCATACAGACAAGTCTGAAGAATAATTATGAAATGACTTCTCCTTTGACTCCTTCTTTAGAATTTAAATGACTAGAAAATATTTGCTAAAGCACAGTCATAGATTCTCTATGATTCAGTATGCAATATTGTCCCATGCTGATGGAACTACAGCTTCTCTAGACTTGCAGTAATGCCAAATGAAACTATCTGTTTTAATTTGATTATTTCCTCTTTCTGTTTTGAAAAATAATGTGTTTATAATATTTATAATAAACACTCTAAACTGAATCATTTCAAAATTATTTCATGTCATATGATACTCATATAATGTTAATGATGCACATGCTTATATAAAACAAGTAAAATATTGATTTTAAAGATTCTGTAGTTGAACTTTAAGTTGCATAAATGCAAAGAAGCATTTAAATGCAAAGAAGGTAATGCTTAATAAATGAAAACTTGCTACCTAACTAACACTTAAAATGACAAATAAAAAACTTGGTCATTTTTTAAGAGAACTGAACACTGATATAAATGAGAAAAGACTGGGGGGAAAAAAAAGAGCAATATTTAACACTCTATTGGAATTGAAGAGATATGCCGCTTTTAAGAATTTTGTCACTGATTCATAGATCTGGAGCACTATGCTATATGACGATATACTATGATCAATGCCATATTTTAAAGTCAAAGTATGAAAATGGATGTGTACATGAGCACATATCATTGTACATTGTATGGAAGAATAGAATGATAAAAAAGAAGTAGTGTTTATAATTAACACTCAGCAATAAATTTTCTAAACAAATTAGATATATTTCACAAATGATAAATTAGAAGTAATATTTATTAAATTAATAATTCCTAAACAATTAGATATTTTATATAATAGTTATTCAATTAATAAATAGTTATTAAATTAATAATTATTGAATTCATTAATAATTTTCAACAAATTAGCAATTTTCTAAAGAAATTAGATAGTTTTTACGAATGATAAATTAAAAGTAATAGTTTACTTAAAGCTCAGTGTTTTTTTACCAATTCCGTGTATTAAAATGGAGATCATATGCTGGAGTTATATATCAGAGTTTTCTCTCTCTACTTTTAGGACAACAGAGCTTAAGAAAACTGAAAATTTGGTCTTGGTCCCATGTTGAACAAAAGCATTAGTTGGTCTTAAGCAAGCTTTGCTTTTTTTGGAATCAATTTGTACAGACAGTCAGCTGCAGGCTGCAGTTTTTTGGAATCAGTTTGTACAAACAGTCAGTTGCAGTTTTTTTTTTTTTCCCCCTATGTGAAAAATCAATTATGCCTTCACCAGGATTCAAACAACGAATCTTCAAATGCTAGTTGGATATGCTAAGAGTTATACCACGATAAAAAAAAAAAAGGGGGATATGCATTAATTTCTTATCTTACTGCAGTATGCATTGAAGACAATTCAATCTACATAGAAAGGAATTATGCCACACGTAAAAGATACACATGTAAAATGCAGAATCAAGGGAAGAAGCCCTAGGTTAGTAGGGAATTAATATAAAATTGCATTTGATATTTTTATGAAATCTGCACCAACCTAAGATCTTTCTTTATACTCTTATTATTTTTTTTACTGTTATTATTGTTTTCTGTTTTTAAAATTGAATAAATAACTAGTTAAGTCACTGACTGGCAGTCAAACAACACAGTATGGGAACTTACAAAAATAAGTTACACTATTAATATACCATGATTTACTTAGCTAAATTATTCCAAAATACACAGGAATCCTTACAATACATATTTATAACCTTAAAACATTTATTTATATCAAAAATTTTATAGGCAAAATTGTTTAAATATGCGGTTTTTATAAAACATTATTACATGCTAAAGTCTTTTAGGTTTTAATTAGTATCAGTTTCTACCTCTCTTTTTCCATGTTCTTAAATATTCTGATAATTTGTACTCAAAACAAGACTCTACCGACTTATTTCCTGAAACAATAACTCTAAATGTAATATACAACCAGTTAAAAAATGTTTCACATAAAAAGATATGTAATTTAATGAAAACAGCTTTTGCACATTGAGTTGTGTAAGCAATAAAATAAAACTTCTCATATAGTCCAATTAATAAAACATTAGTTAATTTCAAAACCTTCATATGCAAAATTTATGAAGTTAGAATATTATGACTTATTCATGTAACAGATCAGGGTTTTGAAACAACTCCCACTTTATAACCGCTTCTAGCAACATAAAACACATATGTGAAATCAGTTATATCCTATGACTGGAACACTAGACTGGTGGACACACGTGTTTTCTCAGAATAGCAGAAATTTTCTCTCCTTTTCATAAAGGGTTCTTCATTCCACATGAGATAGCTACTTCCTGGGGCTATTTCGCTTAAAATTGAATTTTACTTATATGTACATATTTATGATACCCTAAATCTTGTAATGCAAGTTTTTCATCATATTACAATAGTCCCTTATTTTCCAAAATACATTTGTTGCATTCCAGAAAATATTGTTGCAAATGTTAGGAAAGTCTAACATTTGTACTTCCAAAGATAACACCACAACAGTTTTCCTCTATTCATCTTACCTCAAGATGAATCATAAGTTGTTATAGAATAATAAAATCTTATAGAATAGATTAATTCTTTCTTAAAGAATCATAAAAATATATTGTCATATAAGTTTCTCTAAAAAAATGCATAATTTTTAGAGGGCTATGAATTTAGTCATACTTTATGATTTTAAATTGAATAAAACTGTAGTTTGATATGAACTTGCACATTCTTCGTGATCTAGTGAAGGTATTCAAATACATATTATTACAACAAAAACTCTTTATGAACTATTTCTCATTTACCCACTAAAAGCCAATAGGATTAAAAAAAAAGTAATAAAAGTGCATATACACAAGGCTTTGGACTGCCTTCTGAAAATATAATATTCCTTAATATGTTTCTGTAAAATGTTAAGAATGTATAAAAGTTTCCCTGAAATTCTAAAAGTTCATAACATGAGTTAAACTACTAGTGATTAATTTATGTAAGGAAAATCTCAAAAAACAAAGAAACACCTCTTCCATAGAATCTTGGGCTTTTAAATAATTTTTTCTCTCTTTTAAATCTGGATATAAACAATAAGAAAGGGTTTATTACCATAATTTAGGTAAGGTTAACTGAATATGGCACAGCTCGTGAAGGCTATCTGCCTCTTCAGAAACAAAATAATTCTGCCACAGTTACTTTTGCTCCTGAAGACAGGTGAGTGTCTGATTGCTTTCAAAACTGGAAAAGATTTTTCAAAACCTAAAACCAGATGAGGTTGCTGCTTTGCCTAATTTTAAATTTTGAAAGTGTTTCTCTTTTAATCTGATTTATGTAAACATTGATATAAGAATTGAATATACAACTGATATAAAAATAAATCTTGAATAAAAAATGTTTGCAGTGCAGCCAATTTTGGTGGGCATAAGAATATATAATATCATGCAGCCAGAATACTTATTATCCACACAATCTAGCATGTGTTACCATCCCAAGAGACATACACAACTAGGCAAACAGTCAGTTCTTAGGATGTTAACCACTTAATATGGCTTAAGATATTTTATCGTTCAAACAGTGGTAGGAAGTTTGAAAAGGTGTTTAGAAAGTAATAAATATACTTAAAAACTCATGTTCCAGTTTCCTTTAAATTTAAAGTTTAAAATTTTATATTATACATATATTTATTTTAATTATTCTTAATTTTTATGAATATTTCTAGCATTATTGTAATTAATAAAACACGTTTCTTTTACTATATATTACATACTCCAGCATAAAATTATCATTTGTTTTTTGCCCTTAAATATTATATGACCTAGTTCAAATCCAAATATTACTTACCTTCATTTTCCATATAGCATCAACCAAAGATCTAAATTCGGTCTCTAGAACATCAAAAGACCCATACTTGGTGCGAGCTAAAGGATGACTTTGTAAGTTATAAAGTGCTCTAATGAGAGAGGCGATGTAGCTTGATACCATTCCTTGGTTAGACAACTTGAAAATTAAAAGAAATTCTGTTAGAATAACCACAGAAAGCTCTTTTTTAAAATCTTTGTCTATAAAAAGAATTTTTTATTAAAAAGTAAAAACTACATGCATGTGTATTTATTCAGAACTAATATCTTAATGTGACTGCAAAATAAATCCAGAGGCATCAGCTCATTCGGTAGAATATTGAAATAACAAGAAAAAGTCCAGCAGACTTTTCCTCATTGATCCATGGATAAATAAAAATGCCAACCAAAGAAAAGTGTTTCAATATGTTTTTATACACCCACTTTCACATTTGTATGGATCTTCAAATAAATATTTGTGTTTACAAGTTCACTTGCAACTACAAATAAACATCATTTATCTTGCAGGCACTAAAAGCTCATATTTACTACATATTGTTAGTAAAACTGAATTCTGTTTAAAAATTTTCTCTCTAATGTAATTCTATTTCTGTTTCATTTTAACAAAAATTCAAAACAAAGTCTTAAGCTTTCTTACTATCATTATTTTGGTTTATTTTTAATATTTGTTAGAATTTATTTCACACACTGAATATCTGTCTAAAAAGGGGAAAAATAGTCATTTATAATTTTTCATTGAAAAATGAGAAGAAATTTTTTTTTTTTTTTTGTTTGTTTGTTTTTTTTTTCAACTGCCATGGCATCTGCTCTTTGCCTCCATCTGATCTCCCTCATCCTTCAGAAAGAAATGCTGTTAATTTTATTCAGTTTAGCAATAAAATCGTAGATGATTCGCCTGTAACTTGCTACACTGATGGTAGCAAAATTGATGGCAGGGTTGATCTTGCATTTTTTGTCTTAAAAAATGGTCTTGTATTTGAGCACTTTCAATTTAGAATTAGAGATGAATGTACCGTTTTTATAGCTGAACTTTTGTGCTTAAACTTTGCCATCAAATGGGACTCTGAACAAAATAGTGCTGTTTCAGACTATCTCATTTGTACTGATTCCCTTTCATCCTTGGAGATCTTAAAATGTATTTCTTCTAATAATATCATTATCGAGATTCAAAAAGAACTGAAAAACCTAAAAGATAAAAATATTTCGGATGCATCTTTATTTGTTCGTGATCATACAGGTGTTGTTGGAAACGAATGAGCCAATTTCCTTGCTAAGACTGCGACTAAGCGGGAAATTGATACTTTTGTCAATATCCCTAATTCCTTTCATAAGAAGGTCATGTATGAAAGTATTGTGGAGTCGTGGAACCACTAATTCATTAATTCAAATAAAGGGAGCACACTAAGAGATTTTCCCCTTCTATCAAAATGAGATTGTCATGTCATCACTTCTTCACAAACTATAAATTAACCCAATTTCTTACTGGCCATGGAAATTTCAAAAGCTATTTGAACAGATTTAAGTTGTGCCCCGAGTCTGTCTGTGATTGTAGCATCGGTGGCGAGGAGAATGTTGAACATGTGCTTCTTCTATGTCCTAAATATGAGAGCGAAAGAAAAGTCTTGAAACTGGGACTGAAAAATTTTAATATTAACTGGCCTATATAATTTTACCAATTTATTTCCGAGAGAAGTGCTTTTAACACTTTTTGTCAATTCAATGTAAAACTTTGTAATCATCCTTAATTTTATTTCAGTTTTTTCTTCTGTTTATTTTGTATTGTGTTTCATACTTACTTCTGTAAGCCCCCATGTGATACTATGTGGTACATGGGGAACGTATTGTGTTTCTTTAATCAAAAAAAAAAAAAAAAAAAAAAAAAAAAAAAAAAAAAAATTAACACCTAATCTTCTTTTAAGCTCATATTCAAAAAGAAAATACGCATTACACATATTTGTTAAAAATGTAAATAAATTTGTTTTAGAAGAGGGAAGATGAATTGAAAGTTTTACACCAACTATGGGCATTAAGCTCTAGAATTTGAAGAAAATGCAATCGTTAATATGTAAAATATGCTTTCATTTTAATCTATTTTCCCATCTTGAATGAACAAATAAAATGATGCTGAAGAAAAAGAGAGAGGAAACTAACATTAAACATTTTAAAATAAAACAAAATTTTAAATATCATTTAATGAAAAATAAATTTAAGAATAAATTTTTTTTAATTAATATTTATTAAAAATATAAATAATAAACTGAGTAAATGAAGTACATAATTCAAAAAACCAAATCTTTAAACAATACGAAGTCCGAAATCCAAACTCATAAACATTTCTTTCAATTAAGTTATTTAAGATGCTTTGTTTTTTGTGCTAACACTTTCTTTAATATTTTAAATAGGCATAATTTCTTTTCAGTTGCAAATTCCGGTAAATACCATGTCAAGAATAAACACTGAATTGTCAAACAAAAATTTTTTTTATCTCAACAATTTGTCATTTTGTTTCACTTTCGGTAATAATATTTTCTGGATTTGGAACTATACTCTAAATTTCACTTCCATTAGTTGAGCGATTTTTAAAAGGCACTGTTATCGCAATGTAACAGTTCTGTTACATTAACTTCATTTATTTTTATTACTACTTCTCCACATTTCATCACAAATTCCATTAATCAGAAAATTTCGCTTTTTATTTGTGATATCCAAAGAAATTCAAACTCATAATTATTATCATAAAACTTAATGGACATCAGCTATACAATATTGGCAATGTATCATCAGATTGGTGACTAAACACATGTTGTCCTGCTAAAAATTTTCTTCCTGTTATTGCGCATTGAGGAAGTTAAGCCTGAAGCATATTAGTTTTGTTATTTATTATACTTACATCTATTTCTTAGATATGTTTATGATATTATTATATATGCTCATCTGAATCCTGATGAACTAAATTTCCACATATACTTAAGGCAGTACTTTTCCATCACGCAACCTGCCATGCATTTCAATGGGTTTTTAATATTAATAAAAAATTTCTGGTTATAAGAATAATTTATAGATGGCAAACACACACACATCACATGGCAGGTGATCGCCATCACTTGCTATGTGCCAAAAAGGGTGGTAGGTGCATAACAGAAAAGTACCTATAAGGCTTATCAGAACAACAAATCAGTTATTATTAACTAAAACAGCACTAAATGGCTTATGAATACCATTTACAAGATTTATTTTTAGAAATTTCTGTTTAATTCCTCCTCGTTATGCTTAACACTTTACAGTACTAAAGTCTTATAATTTTGGTCAAATATAATGTCAGCATAAAATGTTTCCATGTTGTTTGGCATTAAATTACTAATATTTAAAACAAAAAAGTTTTAGACAACACTATGTGAGTCCTTTCTCAAGCTGTGGTGAGTTGATAGTCATATGGTGATGAAAGCAAAAAATAATTTTGAAAAAGATTGGCAGATTGGCATAAAGGTTATATGATATTTACTAAGCGTAAAATTAGTGATAAACTTTGAAAGAATGCTTTGGTTTGCGATGTATGCTCAGCGATAAGGCGGCTGTGGAACAAAATTATTTATCATATAGATTTATGCTAATAAATGATTTTGTTTCTTCAACATAGAAGTGTTTCATTTAGGGCTAAAGTTAAAATTAAGAATCAGGATGCTTATTGTGAAATGCTTTATTATGAAAAAAATGCCTATAAGTACACTTATTATGAATACTTAGTTGATGCAACGTAATAAAATGCTGACAAAATTTAACTATTCCAAGGATGTTTGATTGAACTATAAAAAAATAAAAAGATTACCATATAAATAACAAATATAATTAGTAACCATTCTGTTGTCAAAAACTCATCTGTTATTTTTAACAAATTGCATTCCAAAGACAAAAACTGTTGCCAAAAATGATAATACAATAATACGCAAATTAAACAATTATAATTATTAAAACATTTGTGAGTTACTTTCAAACTAATTATTTACATTTTATAGCATTACATTCACTCCCCTTCCAGTAACGAACATTAAGTCAGAAAGATTGGAAGAAGCAATGGTTCTTATCATCAAAATAATAATAAAATTAATGTATAAATAAAATATTCGTTTTTGAATCACAATGGTGTCTTAAGAATTCTACCAGTTCGGAATTGTCTTAAACCTTTGACACGCGGTGGTCGCACCTTGAAACCACCAATTTTAGAATATTTTTTCTCCTCTTCTTTTCGAAATTTTTGAGTGAAAAATCAATTGATTACTGATCTTTTACCTTTAAATAACACAAAATGACTGCAGAATCATACATGTTTTAGGTCTTAGCAATTCAAGTCGGATGCCTTTTAAAATTTGTTTTCAATGAGACAAAATAACTTCCTTTTATTAATATAAAAAACTTTAAATTTCAAAAGTTATTCATTGCACATCATGATTTTATCACAAACAATAAAAGATAGCAATAATTAAACTGCATATATAAAAAAAACTCTGTATGTATTGCATTTGCTTTGTGGTTTCAGGGCGCGAAAACTGCCTTACTAGAGCATTGTGTCACAATGCTCACAATGCTCTAGAAGCTTGGGGCCTTGAAACCACTGCTCTTCACAATGGCATTTGCTTGCTTCTCAAATAGGAATGTTTATTTTTACCCAGGGATATAGAAACGGGGTTTTGAAATCACAGAGTTATTTTATTACTAAACAATAACAATACATGCACCTGCCGAGTAAAAAAGGTCTTTCTTTTCCAGAGACTTTTCTCTGACCTCAACACACTTGCTCTCCAAGCTAGTATTGTGATTTTATAAATTATTTCCTGTGGTTTAAATTTAATATAAATATACTTTGCTACAATTAAAAATATAAATCGCTTAAAGTTTTATTTAAATTAAAAATATTTTCTGGATATTTGGGGACGAAATACGAATAAAATAAGTATGAATAGGAAATGAATGATCCGTACCAAAGCAAAAAAGACCCAAGCCCCCACCCCATTACATAAAAAACCACAAATTTCATGTGCCAGATGAAAAGAAACTAAATAACACTGGACATATACCAGTGAAATTTAGATCCAGGCAGTGTTCATTTTGTAGCACAAGGAAGAAACCTCATAGAAGAAGATA